TCTCTCACTCAATACAGGAGAGCAGATCTTGTGTGCTTATTCTACTGCGCTCGTGGTGCCTGGGACAGTGGCAGGTGCACAGGTGTGTGCTCCACAAATATATAATGAGCAAGTGAAAAGGGCCTTCAGGACCTAACTGATCAGAAAGGACTGCCCAGATGGCCAAATGGACCAGTCAGTTCCTTTCCTACTCATCCCCACTGCTCTTGGCCGTGGGGGCGGATTTTTGCTTCTGGCCTCCAAGAGCTCCCCCTGTCTCTGTCTAGTTCTCTACAGGGATCTATGGCCTGTGTCGGAAGACTGACCTCCATGTGGGTGATTTGGGAAGCTGAGAGCCTTGGAGATGCTACTGGGACTGAGCTGGGGTCCCCGGGGCAAATCCAGGGCCTGGCCGAGGGGAAGGGGTGCTACTCTCAGCTCTTAGTCCATCAAAGGCAGTGGCTCAGCATGGCCTCAGCCCAAGGGGAGAGAAGCAGGAGAGAAAGTGCAGTTCTTCTGCAAAGCATTTGCCCTGGGGCTGGCCCACACCCCTTCTGTGATCACCAGCCAGAGCACATTCTGACCAGAGTGTCCTCCAGGGGGCCCAGGCCTCGGCGAACAGACTGCCAAGGCCAGCTGCCTCAACAGGGCCAACCCACCCCACCCACTGGACTGTCCAGGGCTTCCCTCCAAAGCCCCAGGCGAGCCTGCCCCTGGGCCCCTGCGGGTTTGTCCGGAGCAGCCTGCAGTGAGTGGGGAACTCCCCTGCCCACGGTACAGGCAACAATAAAACTACATCCCTTTCGGACCAGAGGTAGATGGGGGTCTGACAGTATGTGGTTTGGACTGAAAAAAATTTAAAAAGCGCTTTTTCTCCTTTCATGCCAAGGCCTTCAGGAGGAAGGCAGAGGAAGATGGAAGGTAAAGGGAGTGGAAATCGGGCAGCATCTGCAGACCCCTGCACTCAGTAGCCTGAGCAGGCTGGAGATGGGGGGCCAGGACCTGAGGAACCCCCATTCGCTCAGGGTTTGGAGGGCCAGGCACTGGGCCAGGTATGGGGTGGCCCTGGGGGAGGGAGAGGAGGAGGGGACTGTGCTCTTGCATTAGAGGGTGTTCATGGCATACTGGGGCCACGTTCCCCCAACTTTGGGGCCAGGACTAAATATTGGGAATCCCCCTTTATAGGAAGAGTGGACCTCAGGGTTCCTGCTGCAAGCAGTTGGGGAGATGGCACCCCAGGAAGCTGCAGGAGGCTGACGCCAACCGGGGGCGGCCCGGGCCCACGATCCTTTTTCTGTCCTGCTTCCACTTTCTGCTGCTCGCTGCTCCGGCAGACACTCCCTGGAGCAGAGGTTTCCAGACTAGAATAACTTTATTCAAGAGAATCTGGCTTGGCAGCCAGACAGCCATGCAGGCAGCGTGCTCCATGCCCAGCCTGGGCCCCCTCGTTGCCTGTGTCCCTGAGAGGGGCAGGATGGTGAAGTCTTCCTTGGCCACAAAGAACCATGTCCCAGCACAAGCTGTGGCGAGATGTGAGGAGAAACCGTAGGGGACGAGGAGTGGCCAAGGCCCCGGGCGACCGCTGTTCTCCAGAGCTGAGTGTTCCGCTCTCCAGGGGCAGAGCCGCTGCCAGGAGGAGGAGGAAGCCACAGGGCCCCTCACCCCCTGCCTGCCTTCCCACGCAGCCTGGGCCATGGCCTGCTTGTCCCTGCAGAGCCCAAGGCCCAGGGACAGGCGGTGGGTTCTTCCTCTTCTCTTCTTCCTTCTCCAGCCCCTTGGGGGCCCCTCAGGCCTCTGGAGCCCGGCTTGCCCCTCACAAAGTCAGGTCTTGCTTCTTCCCAAGCTGAAGCACACACGGGCCATGGCTGTCTTCTTTCTCTCACGTTCTGCTTAAGGCACTGAATTCCTGAGGGTCCTGTCCCTCCAGGCCCCTCATCTTGGAGGGAGGAGTCATTCAGCAGGGATGCAATTGGCTAATAAATAGAGGGCAGGTGCCAGCAAGGAGGTAACTGAGAGTGTGACGATAATAAATACAGGAGCCGGGTGTGGGTCTCTCTCCTCCGAGGGGCTGGTTATCTTGGGGGAGAAGGATCAGCTCACCTGTCAGAGACCAAACACAGAAAGCAGGTGTCAGCAGGCTGTGGAGGGTGCGGTCCCTGCTACGGGAGCGGGGACAAACCCAGAGGGGAAGCAGGGCAGGGAGCACAGGGAGATTGCAGCATGCCTGGATCTCTGCTTGCACCAAAGAGAAGCCGGAGCTACCCTTCACCAAGCACCTCCCCAGGTGCCCAGCCAGCCCTGCGCTAAGCACCTTCTCATCTCCCCTTCACGATATCTCATGGGGAAGGCACTGTTATTATCCTGAGACAACGGAGGCTCAGAGAGGTTAGGAAACTTGCCCAAGGTCACACAGCTAGTCAGTGACATGAACCCAGTCTGGCTCCATACACTAATACCTCTGATTACTCTAGGGCAGCAGTCTTCAGACGAGGGTGCAGGTGTCCCGAGAGGTACATGAAAATTGTCCAAGACCTACATGGGTGCTGATGGCTTTAAAAGAATCTGTTTTCAGTTCTCCACCCGAAAACTGCCCGCCTGAGAGGTCTGCTTCCCCATCATCCTGAGAGTTCGCCACAATTACCTTCCTACCTGGCAGCATCCTGCCCATTCCAAAGCCCTGACAATACTGTGGCCCAAGGCAACAGTATCCAGGGGACACTGAACAAAGAACTTAAGGTGTAGGTGCTGAGAAAGGAAATATGGCAAACAACTGGGTAACCCAGCCTTTTGCAAGTCAGGTGGTTTCCAAGTCTTTGCTTTCAACAAATTAAAGAACAACTCAACTGAATGGTCAGCATATATGTCATGAGAAGTAATTTTTGTTCGCAGATCACCTTGATGTTTTTGGGAAGGAGTTTGTGGATGAAAAGAGGGTCACATACTAAGTCTGACAAGCTCGGGGGAGGTCAGTTCGGGGGCCCTACGAACTCAGAGACTAAAAGTAACCACACAGGGCAGTCTGAACATAGAACTTCCTAACGGAAAGCTATGGCAGGAAGTCCTGTCCTAGGCCTGTAGCTTCTTTGGCAAAGTTCAATCATTTCCTCAATGAGCCTAAAGTCTTTCTGCTTCTAAGATAACATACCTTTGAAATGTCAGAGTAATCTCTTTTCCCAGGCCCCTCGGGGAGCAACTTCCCACCGGATCAGGAGACCACAGAAGCCCTCATGGTATCTTGTTCCCAGAATCCCCTCTCCATGTGCTGTAAATGTTACTCATTTCCTACCCGGTGCCCTCCCACGCAAAAGAAGTATATGCCTATCCATTTCACTTTCTTCCCAACCCCGGAGATTTTCCCGCTTTGCTTTCGCCTGCCTCCCTCATCTACGGAGCATCAGCGAATTTCATGCAACCCTTCTTTTGTCTCCTTTGATTCTGATGTATAAAAATACGCTGCAGAGCATTTTCTCGGTCCATTAAAATTTTGCTTCCTGGCAATTGTCAGTTTGATTCAATTAAACTTTTAAAATTTCTCTACAGGTTTGGATGGTTCTTATGGCGACAAGTTCAAGTAATTAAGTGACATTGAGTCCCATCTACTTGTTTATGTGAGCATGGTTTCTCACCCTTTTCATCTATAAAACTGGTGATCAGGGATGGAATTAATGCCGAATCCTGTCTCAGTCTGGCAGGAGGTAACATTCATTAACGAGTTAATTAATTGAAAGAGGAAGTCACATCCATCTCATTGAGATGCATCCTTAATGAGATTGACGTTTTTTTTAAAAAAAATATTTTTTTAATTGATTTTGAGAGAAAGAGGAAGAGAGAGGGAGAAAGAGAGAAACATTGATGTGAGAGTGAAACATCCATCGGTTACCTCCTGCTCGCCCCTTAGGGGGATCTTGCCTGCAACCTAGGCATGTGTCCTGACCGGGAATGGAACCAGCAACCTTTCGGTGCACAGGACAATGCCCAACCAAGCCATACGGGCCTGATTGTACTTTTATATTGAACACTTATTAAAATATAATGTATTTGTGTTGTTTTGATCAATTGGTACTACAGATAATTATTGTGATAATCCATTCCAGGAGAAAATTTAATTTAGAGTTTATGTTTACAGGAAAATAAAATAATTCAAACTTATATGCCACTGTTGTAGCAGATACACATGGCAAGGTGATATATAAAAGACTTCAGCATTAAAACAATTACATTAGGCTGAAATTTTGTGGGGGAAATGAAATGGAAACAGAAGTTCAAGGAAAAAAGAAGCAATGCAAATATGCAACCACTGTTAGAGGAGAATGTTCACATTTATATTTTTTGTTGCTATTATTCATTTCTTTTTAAAGTGGATGATGGTGTTAAATTAAAATGCCCTGCAGGGCCAGCGTGCTCAGTGATTGAGCTTCGACCTATGAACCAGGAGGTCGCAGTTCGATTCCAGGTCAAGGCACAAGCCTGGGTTGCAGGCTCCATCCCCAGTGTGGGGTGTGCAGGAGGCAGCCAATCAATGATTCTCTCTCATCATTGATGTTTCTATCTCTCCCTCTCCCTCTCCCTCTCCCTTCCTCTCTGAAATCAATAAAAATATATTTTTTAAAAATTAAAATGTCCTATCCCATAGGCATTCCATCTGAAGAGTTATCTAGTGGCTTTATATTAAAACATTAATATTTATAACATGCCGGAAATGATATCTTTGTAACTATTTACAACGTTGATGGAAAAGTTCAGTGTTAACTTAAACGTGAGCAAGAGAGCACGTGGTTTTGAACTTCCGTCAGGAGATTCCCTGGGAGACGTCTGAAGACCGCTGCCCTGGTCGGTGGAGCCACAGGGCCTGCCGGCCTGCCTGGCTGTGGGGAGTCCTGCATTGCCTGCACTGCCAACTCCTTCCCCGAGCGGCTGCCTGGGCCCAGGGAGAAAGGAGGGCCCCACGCCTTGGGAGACCGGCTTCCCTAGAACCCCTGCCTTCACGGAGTGGGGTGGAAGCCTCCGGGGTCAGCTCCAGGCCCACCGCCCAAAATGATTTCCTGGAGTCTTGGAGCCGAAAGGACCTGCCATGTGACTAAGTCACTATAGAGGTGAAATATTTTGTTTTTACTATTTACTCACATATTTGGGTTTTCCCTTCTCTGATCCTTCTCTGGCCTGGACTACACTCAGGCCTGGACTCCACCCTGGGCCTCCACGTGTGAAGCCAAGAGGGACAGGTAACATTGAGAGGGAAATAGAAGCGAGTGGCCCCCGGAGCCCCCTGGAGGGGGGATAGAAATACAGGGTGTGAGAGCCAGTGGGCGGTTGCTCCTCCCCAAGGCCTCTAGGAAATAGCCCTGACTGCTTTCAGCTATTGGACTTCTCATCACTAGAAGGTAAGCACTGAAGAGCAAGAATCTTGTTGGCTTGTTTGCTGGTATACCCGGCAGACAGTCAAGTATTTGAAAACTATTTCTAGAATGACTAAATGCTCGGTGGGCCCTGACCCCTCATTTTACACAGAAAGAAACACTAGGCCAGTGGTCAGCAAACCGAGGCTCGCGAGCCACATGTGGCTCTTTGGCCCCTTGAGTGTGGCTCTTCCACAAAATACCATGTGCGGGCGTGCATGTACAGTGCGATTGAAACTTCGTGGCCCATGCGCAGAAGTCGGAATTTTGTGGAAGAGCCACACTCAAGGGGCCAAAGAGCCGCAGTTTGCCAACCATTGCACTAGGCTCAGAGAGCTGACATGACTTGCTCAAGCCATACAGAGACTCGTGCGAAGCCAGGACAAGATCCAAGGCCCCCTGAGGCTTCCTGGGCCCTAGCATCTCTAAAAATGCATCTCCCTGGTCTGGCCCCTAAGACTGCTCTGGGCCTTGCTTTCCCCTTTCCCCAGCATTAACCCTGCTGGTGGGGGCTCCCCTCTGGCTCAGCCTCCTTGTCATCCCTGGGCCCCCAGCACACTCACAGGTGTCAGTCTGTGGGTCTCTGCTTCTCTTTCTTCCTCTTCCCACTGCCCTTGGGTCTCCTCCTGCAATAAGCCAAAAGCATCAGGACAGAGTGGCTGGGAGCTTATCATGCTGGGACAGGGGCTGGCAGGCCCAAGAACAGCCTGGAGCCCCAGCCAGGCCACTTACCTTTCTGGCTTCGTTATCTGCGACACAGGCCTGGGAAAACAGAGGCCGGGGGAGAATCAGGAGAGTGGTAAGTGTGGGCTGCCTGCCACCCACTCACCTCCCCTCCAACATTCGGATCCTGGTCCTGCAGTTGGCACTGGAGCCACTAGGGGGTAGCATGGAGCTAGTGAGGAAGAGATGGCCAGAGGCCTCTGGGCTTCAGCTCCCACTCTAGACTCCGGTGACCCCTCCGAGAGAGAGACGAATTTCCCCTCGGGGGCCTTTCCATAACCTGCACTTCTCAGCCTCTGGGCATCAAATCTGGGGATTTGTGAGCCTGTCCTTTCCTGCTTTCTCTGTTTATTTTTCCTCTTGTTCCTGCTCTTCATTCCAGGGTGCACCCAGTTTCCTCAAGGAGAGTGAGTGAGGCCAGGGAGAGGGGGTGGTTGCTGCCAGCTAAGGCTGCCTGTCAGGGCACAACTGCCACCTCTGCTCCAGGGATGTGGCGCTGCGGGCAGCGGCGGGAGGAGCGGGTGAGGGGCGGAGGCAGGGCAGGTGAGCACAGCCCCGCGGTCACCAGGCAGGTCCGGCTCTGCCTGCGGGGCTGTGGCTGTTGGCCCAGAAGTGAGAAGAAAGGTGTCCCTGTTGGTCAGCCTGTTGGAAGGAGACAGGGCCTCCCTCTTCCCTGGGAACGGGTGGGGGTGTAGGGCAGCGTGGCCAGGGAATGCTGCCCTCGGCTGGCTGTCTCCCTAGGGAGCCAGGGCAGGGGACCAGGGCCTCTTGGACTGCCTGGTCATGTCTGTGCCATCCTGGGCACGTCAGAGACGCTCGTGGAGCCTCCGTTCCTCACCTGCCTGCCCCAACAGAGTGGCTGTGAGGGCAAACGTGGTGTGGAACATGAACCGTCACCGGTCAGCACTGTGCCTCGGGGTGGGGGGGTCATTGCTGAACTATCGTTGTCTGGCTAAGCCTGGCTGGGAGGAATCGGGGGGAATGGGCTGAGGCAGGGCCCCCGACGGCAGTATAGTGACGGGGGCCTAGAGCCTGGGCTCAGGTCCAAGAGTGGCGGCCAGAGCCCTGGACACTGAGCAGAGCCAAGGCCAGGGCAGTGCGGGGTCTCCTGGAGAATGGCCAGGAGAGGTAGCATGAAAAAGGGAGGCTTAGGTGTTGGACAGGCTGGGGTTCACTCATACGCTGTGGCAAATCATGGAACCACCAAGCCTCAGTTTCCTCGTCCGTAAAATGGAGCCAACGATAGTACCGACCTCCCAGCATTAAGAACAGGGACCTTGTCTGTTTTGCTCACCACTCCATCTCCAGCATGCAGGACAGAGCCTGGCATACAGTAGGTGCTCAATTAATTCTCATTTGAACGAGAATGAGAACATTTGAACACTGAATGAGAAAACACATTCAAGTGCCCAGTGTGGGGCTAGCCGCACAGAAGGGCATTCCCACCCCAGAATAGGGCTCAGGACCTGTTGTCTGGAGCCTCCACCCACAGCCCAGGGCCACCAGGACCGCACCTCAGCGGCTTCTCTCTTCCCTAGGCCGGTCGGCAGTGCTGGGCCTGCTTCTCCTGGAAACGAACGCTCAGATGCCCTGGGAACGGGCTGGGCAGAGGCTCTGCTGGGTGGGGGTGCAATTGTACAGAAACCCAACGCCTTCTTCCTTCTGCCCCTTTCCTCCTGCCATAGCTTGTCCTTCCCTGTGCTCCTCTGCCCAACTGCCCCCTTCCACAGGCACCAGCCTGGCCCAGAACTAAGCCCAGGCTTGAAATGTCCTTGCCTCAGTGTCTCTTCCAGGGCTGTGGCAACTGCCGCCCAACTCAGGGAGGGGATGGTGGGCCCTGAGCCCCTGAAAGTCTGGGGGGGACTCAGGCTTCCTTCACCCTTGTGCCTTCTTGGAGGCTGTGCTCCAACTCCTGGGACCAACTCCTCGGGCAAACACTGGCTGATGCGGACACAAAACACAGCGGCCTCTGGTCCCTGCTTTCCCTGGCCGGCCTCCCTCGGCCAGGAAGGAAGAGTGGCCTGCAGCAGGGATGGTGGCCATGTGGCTAAGGCTGCCACGTGCACGGGGCCTGTCCCTGCCACTCCCTGGGCACCTACCTGCACGCGCAGTGTGTGTGCTGGGAGAATGTCATCTCCACGTAGGAGGACCGATGCTCAGAGCTGATCCTCAGGATCTGCGGGAAAGAAAGGTTGGTGCCTGGGTTGGGGGGTGGCCGTGGGTTTCCAACATTTTCCACACCCTCCTTGGGGGGAGGACCAGACTCCATGTTTCCCCCCACCCTTTGGACGACATGCCCTCATTCTGCTTTGAGGAGTGGGCACAGCCCTCCCATCAGCATGTGGATCTGAGGGAGGCACTTCCACGGCCACCAGCATAGCAACAGCGTAGCAGGGGGGCCCATGCTCTGGCGTCAGAGACACAGGTTGAAAGCGTGGCTCTTCTCCCTGCTGAGCAAGGGAAGTAACATCCCCGAACCTCACGTTTCTCATCTGTGAAATGGGAGTAAGACTTGCCTTGAAGGCTGAATGTTGAGGTAGTGAAGTGCCTAGCACAGGGCTTGGCATTACTCAGTAAGTGTTCCATGAACCATTGTGTTGTGTGTGCGTGCACGTGTGTGTGTGTGTGTGTGTGTGTGTGTGTGTGTGTAAGGTTCAGGGCACCAAGTACTCCTGGTATAAACAGGGATTTCTTGAGTCTGAGCAGATTCAAATCTTTTCCATCCCCTACCAGATATCCTCGGACCTGGAGTGGGGCTAAGCTAGAGCCTGAGAGCGCTGATAAGGGAGGGAAAAGTGGGCCCGAAGTTGGGATGCAGGCTCCAAAAGGCGGGGCACCGTGCTGGGTGGAAAGGGCCTGAGAGTCAGCTGCAGTCCTGTGGCCTCGGGCTGCCCTCCTTCCCTCTCCAGGTCCCTCCCGGTAGTCGGTGCTGAGAACCTCTGAGTAGGGTGTGGACAAGGGGGCAGGCCGGACGTGAGGAGACCCTCCCTACCTGCATGGTGACGTTGGTCGTCTCCACCGGCACACAGTGCAGGGCCTCATCCCCACAGCAGCCCGTGCAGCGCAGCAAGGGGACACAGGACGGGCTGAACATGTACTGCGTCTCCTGGGGGTACTCCGACAAGACGTCCACCAGCTTCTCCATTGCCCGGCAGTAGCTGCGGCCCCACACTACCTGGAAGGGCATCACTGCAAGAGGGCACAGTCAGCTGGTCAGGTCAGGAGAGGCTGCTCCTCGATGCCCCCGTCCTGGCTCCTGAGCCTGGCAGAGCCTCCTCCTCCAGGAAGCCCTCAGCCTATCTGAGCCCCCTCTGCTCTGAACTGATGCAATCCCTCTGGGAAGACGGCTGGACCTTTAGCTGGCCTGGCAGAATGTCCCAGTGTCCCGAGCTCTCCCCTGTGTTCTCAGTGAGGCACCCACACCTGCCTTGGGGTCCCTGGAGCTCCGAGGAGCGCGCCCGGGCTGCCCCCAGGCCCGCTGGGTCTTCCTCAGGCCTGCGCTGGCGCTTCCTCGGTCCTCGGGACTTTGCAGAAAACATTGCTGCAGATTCTGTGAGACTGGCTGGCAGAGTTCGCCCTCGTCTTTATTTCCTGCCCCATGCTGGGCCGGCTCCTTAGCCAGGCAGCCCTGCCTGCAGCCAGCCCGGTGCTCCATCCCCACTCCTCATTTTACCTGGACCAGCCCTGGAACCAAACTGGGCCACATCACAGTCATTCCCACCTTTGGGCTATGTCCCTCCCCCACTTCTCATTTCTAACCAAATACAGCTTACCGCCCATTTCTCCAGGCCCACCTCCCCGCCTCTCCAAAGCTTTCTCCAGCTTTTCTAGTATGAACAGATGTTCCTCCTTTGAGTATAACTAGGCCCCAAGGGCTGGCCTTATCTCAATCACTGGGGCTCTTATCTCCTTTACAAGCAAGTCGAGGCTCTGTGAGGACAGGGACCCAAGCACCCAGTAAACACAGGCTAAATAAGGACGTATTGATCAGATGATTGTTCACTGAAGAATATCAGGGACATCCCCCATCCCCAGCCCTGGCCCCTGACCCCCACGATGTCCTGTGGTCATGAGCAAGAGCTTTTGGGGGCTGATGTGGAATCTCTCAAAATATGCTACTCCTTCAGGGGAAGGCCTGGGGCCTGGTCCCAGAGAGAGGCTCACAGGACGTGAGTAACCAGAAGCAGGAGACCTCGCTTCCAGTCCTGGCCCTCCATGGACTGTGTGACCTTGGGGAGGTCATTTAACCTTCCTGGGATATCAGTTTCCTCAGCTGGGGAAAAAGAAGCAGGTTGGGAATAGATGGTTGCTAAGGTCTCTCCCAGCTCTGACAGACAGTCTGTGATTCTGGGCACACAACCCAGTCCAGCCTTGAGACCGTGGGCAGATAAACATCTCCGGCCCTGGGTCATCTTGCCCTACACATGATGGCTATCCTCAGCTGGTGGCAGAGGGCACGGGATCTGGGTCAGCCAGCAGCCATCATGGTTCTCCCAGCAGCCCCCTCACCTCCTTTCTAGGAGGCAGAAGGGGCCAAAGTCCATCCCATGGAGCCTATGAGGATGTGAGTCTCAGGGTAATCTCAGAGGAAAAATAAACTTCAGCCTCGCAGAGGCCCTGGGGAAAGGCTGCGAGCTGGTGGAAAACACCCAAGAGGCGGCGTGTCCACGTGGAGCCGGCCGGGGAGGCCACAGAGGCAATAAAAACCATGCTTATCTGGGCGTCTGCCGCTCCACTCTGCTTTGTGTGCTTAGGGGGCACTGGGGCTGGGCCCGGGCATGGGAGGAAGACCGGTGCCTCCCCTGATCCTGCCTCCCAGGCCACTGGGACACTCTCCCTGCACCCCCAAGTGGGAAACAAGCCCCTCTTCCCACAAGCAGCCCGAAGCCCCAGGGAAGCCAGCCTCTGCAGTGCAAGGTCAGAGGGGCACCTCCCTATCATAGCTCCGTGAACGCCTGTTTAGTCTAAACTCTTCATGAGGCGATGTAACTCTGGACGTTTAATCTCTACCGTGGAAAACATAAATAACAGCAGAGAACAGCCAGCTGACAGTGCCGTGGAGGCTCAGGATCGTCCCCTGGGAGCAGCCACTAGGGAGGGGACAGCAGCAGAGAAGGGGTATCCCAGCCCCCTACCAGTCTGCAAACAGATTCCCATCCAGCTGGGCTGTTGGGGCCACAGCCAGGTTAAGCAGAGCCAGCTGAGCCTTGGCGGCAAAAGAAGGGATTTCCTTTCCTCACCCCCACACCCCCCCACACACACAGACTGCATCGACGGGGCCCAGGCTCCAGGGCCCTGAAACCCGCCACTTTCTGGACCACATGGCAAGGCTGAGGGGGTGAGCCGGGCCTGCTGTACCTGGCAGCCACCAGGAAAGAGGGCAATCCGTTCCTGGAGGCCGCTGCGCGGGTGTGTGGGGGAAACAAAGGCGCCGGCTGGGTAAGGGGCCAGTTGAGAAAGGCGTGGCCACTCCCAGCTGTGGGCTGAGGCCCTCAGGAAAGAGCTCTGCTCAGCTGCTCCTGAGAGCACTGCCTCTGGGCCGAGAGGCAGGGGTCGGGTGGGAGGAGTGGGAGGCTGTAGCCCAGTGAAGCGCCAGGCCAGGGCGAGGCCATGCAGCAAAGGCTGCTCCCAGGGCCACGAGTGGGTTCTCGACAGCCCTGTGGGTGAGCCTCCTATGTGGTTCCAGCTGCCTACCCCCCGGGACGGAGGAGACTCAAGAAGGGAAGTGCCTGATCCTGAGAGCAAGCTCCTGGGGAGGCCCCCGGGAGGCCACAGGGCTGGGCAGAGCTGCTGGCCACAGCCCAGGCCCGCAGGTGTCCTCTCCATCGTCACGGGTGGGGTGCACAGCCAGCCTGCTGCGAGGGACACGCTGCTCATGCCTGCTCAGCCGTGAGCCGTGGATACTGAGGCGTGTCCAAGGCTTAAGGCAACTCCAAGGGCCTCTGTGAGCCTCAGAGTCTCCATCCATAAAACCGGGAGAACACAAGTGCCTTCCTAGTTCACAGCCCGCGCTCCACACAGAAGTATAGTAAATGCCCAACACTGTTACACGACAGTGGCAGTGAAAACCAGCATCCGCGGCTGCAACGTACAGGCCATGCTGTCTCTTGTCCGGGCTTAGCAGGAGGGGATGGCATTGGCAGATTTTGATAACTGGGGTCCAAAGCTCATGGGACTGCCCATGGCCACAATACAGGCTCCCTGACTGGTGAGGATGGAGGTTAGCTGCCCTACTAGATAGACACTTCCAAGCCTCCTCATCCTCGTCCCTGGAAAATATATACTCCTGTGTCCCCTCCATGGAGTCAGCGAATCCTACAAACTTAGGAAAAACCTTAGCTAGTATGTAGTCTACTGCTCCCATTTACGGATGAGGGAACTGAGGCTCGGGCTTCTTCAGTAGCTGTTGCCTGAAATGCGCTAAAAGCATCAAAGAGGATATGGGGTGGAGATGGTGATGGGTCCCTCCCCGAGTCTAAGAGAGCATTATATTGTGCTAGTCTCAGAGGGCACAGCAAGGGGAGAGGGAGTATCAGTGAAGTCAAGAGCTGCTGCCTCCCCCACCTTCTCAGGACCTGGGATTCAGGCATGAGAGCGTGGCCAGGCCCAGGAGAAGACGACTACCAGACAGGCAGGCCAGCAGAGAGAGGGTGTTCCCAGCCCCAGCTGGCTATCATGCATGTGTGTGTGCACGTCCCTGCACACTCCCACTTCCACTGAGCCGTGGGAAGCCTCAGGAACGGTGTGTGGCCTGACTGCACGTCTTGGAGAGGCAGGCAGGGAGGAGCAAGGCAGGGGGCCTGGCATGAGCGTCCTGCCTTCTGCACGTATGTCTCTTTGGCAACCATCTAGCCCTTTGAAGATTCCCTCTTGATGCAACCCTGGGTGGAGAGTGGAGGGGCCAGGGAGGGTGCGACTCATGTTCTGTCTGTTTGTAATCAATGAAAAGGCCTGGCTGCTGGGAAGGGCTGGCTGCTGGGAAGGTCCCTTCTCCCCTCCTGATTCTCTTGATGGTTTGCCCACTGTACCCAGCTCCCAGACCACCAGTCCACTCACTGCCCACACTGCCCTCCAAGACCTCATCTGCCCCCCGACATCACGCTGGGAAGGGGCTCTGAACCAACTAGACCAACCCTGGGTTACTGGCCCCAGCTTTGCTCTCTGGGTGACCCCGGCCCAGGAATACACCTCTCTAGGCCTCGGGGTCACAATGGGGGGTTTCTCAAGCTCTGCCAACTCGGTCAGCCAGGGCATCCGCCAGCTTGCCGACTTTCCCCAACATAATATCATCCTGCACCCACCCTTCAGGCCAGTCCCTCCCCACCCTCTGCAGAGGCGTGAACGGAGAGGGCTTGGTGAGCACACACGCCAGCCCAGCTTGCTTACCTTTCGTCTGTGACGAGTTGTTCCCAGCAGACAGAGCCGGCGGCTGTGGACAGAAAGGTGCAGAAGTGAGGGGGACCATCACGGGCCGTGTGCTCTGAGGCCGAGTGTATTGGCAAGAGCAGAGCGGGCCATCCGAGCTCCTTCCCACCCACTGCACACTCTCTGCCCTGACTCCGAGCTGTCTCTTTCCATGTCCAACGAAAACCTCACTGGACCCACCCAGCCCTCACTCTGGCCTCAGTTTCCTCATTTGGAAAGGGTGGGAGTCTGGAGGCTTTTGGAGTACTTTGCTTTCTGTGTCTCGAAGATCTTGCAATTCTTCGGGGTCTTCCTCCTCCCCAGCCCCCTGGCCACCCTGCTGGGCCCTATGCAGCCTGCGTTGGCTGGGTGCCAGCGCCTAGGAGAGGTGATCAGCTGGTGGGAGCGGAGGGGCTGGAGCGGGTGGCGCCAGGAGCTGGTGTGCCGGTAACGTTACACCTCTGGCCAGCCCTGCAGCAGCGGGTGGCTGCTGGTGGGGCTTTCCTGCCCCAGGGTCTGTCTAGCCCACCCACTCCTGGGCTGGGGCTGAAGACGCCCAGGGCAGTGGGATAGCGCAGTGGGAAGGCAGCTCATTGGCTTTGTCAGGATTTCACTGCCCAAGCTGGCTCCTGGCCAGACTCCCCCGGCTCCTGGGAAAAGGGCCCTGCTCGCTTCCCCAGGCCCTGCACGTGGGACCTCCGGCTGCCCACCCGGGAGAGCCGGTACAGCAGGACCTCTTGTCTGGCCCCGGGCCCTCCCTGGAGCCCTGCGCTCAGCCCCGGGCAGGCCCCAGCCTCCCCACCCATGGCTTCTTCTGCTGGCTTCCCCCTCCACCAGACCAGGTCAGAGGTCCTGGGGGCGCCTGCCTGGTCACAGGCCTCGACCCTGACCACAAGGTCAGGGACCGGCCTGGGATTAGTGGAGAGATGCTTTTAGCAAAGCCACGGTGGCTCCCGGGGCCAGACAGGAAACCTCCCTCCCGTCCCTGTGGCTTCCCTGCCCCCACCACGACAGACCCCAGAGCTGAAGTCTGGGACAGCCCGGCCTGAGGTCTCCTCCCAGACAACGTGGTCCAGCCCGACTCCTGGGAAATGTGTGGACATCCTTGGAGGTGCCGCTCCAGGGAGTGCGTCTGTGGTTTCGGGGGGGCCCCCCTGCTTTGAGTGCTGGGGTGGAGGAGATGAGGGGAGCCAGGCTGGGATGTGGGGGTGGGTCTTACCTGGGGAGACACAGCAGGCAGCGCCAGCCCCGCCAGGAGCTGCAGGAAGCAAGTGAGCAGCCTCATGGTAGGCATCTTCTCAGACGTCCCGAGGCAGGGGGCTCCGAAGGGAAATCACCATGCTCACCCCGCTGGGGGCGTCCCTGGGACGGGAGCGGCGGAGCTGAGTCGGGGGCTGGATGCCCCCCTCGCGACTGCCCCGAGGTCCCCGCTAGTGGGCTAGCGGCCCGAGCATCCTCTGGGGGCCCGCAGGTAAGTCGTGGCTGGGGGACCTGATTCGAAGCGCCCGGCGGGGTGGGCAGGCGGCCGCCGGGGAAGGCTCGTCGGGCGCTCGGCGCGACCCCAGTCTCCCCGCGGGCCGGTGAAGATGCGGCTTCCTGCTCGGACAGCAGCTCTTAAGGGACTGGAGCTGGTCGGCGACGGGGTTTCGGGAGCTGTGAACGGGGCGGGGCTCCAGGCCGCCCCGCCCACCGCGGACGAGGCTCTCTGGGAGCGGCCGAGCCCCGAGCCCCGAGCCCCGCCGGACCAGCGGCGGGGCGGCCCGGGGCTGAGCGCGCTCGCTCCTCCCGCCACGCAGTGCGCGGAAGGGGCTCCGCACGCGGACCCTCGCGCTCCCCCGGGGCCCAGCCCGCAGTTTATCCCGGGGCCGGCGGAGCCTGGTGCCCGCGGCGCCAGCACCCCGTGCTGCCCGCGGAACGCCCGCGCTTCTAGGCTGGCTGCTTTGCGTCGGGGCATCGAGCCTGTGGTCGGAGCCCCGCGTTTACGGCGTCTTACCTCTAGGAAGGCGGCCACTTGGTCTGGCCCTTTATTTCCAGGGCCACCCTCTGCCGTCCCCACAATCCTCAGGCGGGAAAGAGTGCCCCAGCATGTATATATTGTGCATACATGTGCATTCGAGGAGTGGGCGTGTGTGTCCCTGACGGACAAAACCCAAGCCAGCTGACTCCAGAACTGCCTCTCTGCCCCGTGCAGCCGGCTCCCCTGTGGGAAGCAGTGTTCTCGGGCCCTCCCTGCGGGCCCACCACAGGCAGCGTGGAGTGTGGCCCAGCGCGGCCTTTCCTCCTGGTCCCAGGAGGAGGAAATGCTTCCACTGGCAGGGATCTGCCCACAGGGGTCTAGTTGTTTGTGTGTGCACGTGTCTGTGCATGTGTGTGGGGGCATGTAAGTGTGACTGTGAGGACCCACCCGTGCTATGAGTCTCTGTGTGGTCTGAGTGTCTGTGTGTGTCCGCTGTATGTACAGCTGTCACTTGTGTGTGGACCTGGTCCCTTGGTAGCTCTGTGATTGTGTGTGTGTATGTGTCCGCTGTGTCCCTAGGTGTGTGTGGGAGGGTGTCTGAATGTGCATTTCAGTGGGATTGTGAATTTGCATGTCTTCCTTTGTCTTCGTGTGTCTTGCTCCGTGTGTGAATGTTTGCACCACCTTCGGTGTGTGATTGTGCATCTCTGTACATCTGTGTGTGCCCTCGCATGGTCCTCACTTGTTCATCACCACAGCTCCCTGGCTGCAAGAACCTGGCAGAATTTGGGGTCATGGGTTGGCCCAGGCCTGGAGCTTGTGGATGGCTGTGGGAAAGGAGGGAAGCCAGGGAGGCGGCCCCTACATTCCAGCCAGAAGCAAAAAGGCCAGGGCAGCCCCAGCTTTCACCCCAGTGACCTCTGCGTCCGCTGCCTGCCTGCCCACCCACGAGAGGCTGTTAGAGATGCTGTCTCCTTGCCTAGCCAACCCCAAGCCCGAAGGTCCAGAAGCCAGGGGCCAGTTACCTATCAGCTAAGCGGGGGCTGTAAGGAACTTTCTGACAAGCTCCAACACGCTAGGGCTCGTGGAGCAGACAGACTCCTTTCTGGGCCTGGGGTCATGGTGGGGGGTGTCTGGGAATCACTGTACATGTGAATGGAGATGAGTAGATATGTATTTGTGCATATTGGGACCATATGTGTATGCCCATAATATCTGTGCATACAGATGCATGTGTTCATGTGTGTCTTTATTTTCAATTTGAATTTGGGTATTGAAGTATCTATTGTATATGCTTGTGTATAACTGAGTGTTTTGAGCATTTGTTTATAGGGCATATTTGCCTATAACTGTGTATGTATAGGGCTGTGTATATTTGTATATTTGTGTGTTTGTACTGATTCATTCATTTTTTCAATTGACAGATATTGCTTCAGCCCTAGTATGCTCCAGGCACCGTTCCAGGTGCTGGGCATGTAGTATGGAGGTTCCCTGGAAGTTTACGTTCATGGGAGGTGGTGGATACAGGTGTCTGGGAAGGCCACAGCTCTCTCTTTTACACTCTGGAGTGTCTGGGCAATGTCTGCATTTCCCCCACGTGTGTGTCAGTGTTTTTTTGTCACTAACCTGAGAACCATACCCTTCTAAACATGGCTTCTTGGGCTTGAGATGTCTTAGGTAGGGTAGGTGGTAGAAACCAAAAGACCCCCAAGTGTCCATGGGTTCAACAGAAGTTTCCTCTTGCTCACATCCAGTCCGGGGTACGTGTGCAGGTGGCTCCAGTCCTTGCCAGCCCTATAACCTCAAGGAACTTCCTTTCCTTCTCAGAGCCCCGCTGTCTCCATCTAAAGTGGGAATAATAATAGTACTTACCTCATAGGTGAGGACTGCTAAAGCACCTGGGGTGCAGGAAATGGTAGTGTTAGGCATGATTTCTAATAAACTTTTAATTCTAATTAGAGATCTAAAAACACGATAGTTACAGAGCAGAGTCGTCATCATGGAATGAAACAGAAAATAACCTCATGCTTCTGCCAACTGCCGAGGAGCAAAAGGCTGGGGGATTTGCAGGTGCGTGCACACACACTCGCACACACAAATTCTCACCATCACCATCCAGGTGATCAGTCCTCAGCTGTCAGCAAAGCTTTTGAGTAGATTCAGGTGCTGAGTAGATCTACTGGCCAAATCTGTTCAAAACTCAGCATTTAACTATTTATCATCACAATCATTTGTTGTTTTATATTTTATATAAATAAATAACGAATATTTATTGAGCACTTATTATGTGGTAAACAGTGTGCCTGGTGCTGTAAACACCTCAAGTCAATGAGTTCTCCCAACAAACATATGAAGTAGGTTTTAATTATTCCCATTTTGAAGATGAGGAAAATGGAGGCACAGGGAGTGTAAGTAATTTGCCCATAGTCGCTTAACTATGAGAAGAAGAGAAGAGAAGAGAAGAGAAGAGAAGAGAAGAGAAGAGAAGAGAAGAGGGAGGGGGGAGAGGAGAGAGGGGAGAGGAGAGAGGAGAGAGAGAGGGAAATATCTATGTAAGAGAGAAACATTGATTGGCTGCTTCCCGTATGTGCCCCAACCAGGGTTCGAACTGGCAACCTAGGTATATGCCCTGACTGGGAATTGAACTTGCAACCTTTTGGTGTATGAGACATGCTGTAACCAACTAAGCTACCTGGCCAGGACCTTCTAAACTATTTTCCAACTATGACTTTGCCTTCTCTCTTGACGACGATTTGGCATCTCGTGCTAGAGCAGTGCCTAAGGTGACCCTGTCCCTGAATATGGCAATAGGTGGGTGGGAAGTAGAGTATCCAAGGGCTAGACTCTCCCCCTTCCTGGCTGCCAGGGAGAGCAGCAGTGGGCAGCAGGGGCTGACAGCCTTTCCACTTCATAGGCTAGACGCGCTATAGCCGCCTGCGACCCAAAGTCACCGGCAAGAAGATGCTTGGCTGGCCTCCTCTGTCTTCTCCACCTGCCTCCTGGGCCCCACCCAACCTCAACCCTGAGCCCCTGTCCATCTCTTCATGCACTCGATCCAGGCCGGCTCCAGGGGCCGTGCTGGCCACCACCACGGGGTGAGATGTCCCTCATCCAGGTTCCCACAGCACCTTGAATTGCCTTCATCATGACCTGGCCCCCAGTCTCATCACTACCCAGCTGCTTGTCTAGCTCCCTGCAGACTGTAAGATCCAAGAGGACAGACGCTTGTTCACCTTTGGATCCCCGCTGCCTTGTGTAGTCCTGGCACACAGTAGGGGCTTACTTAGTGTTTGTGAAGCTGGGTCAGTCCTCAGAGCACTTTCTCCTCTCCACACAGGAAAATTTCCCAAGTCTGCCTAATCCTCCCCCAAATGTCCCTCCACCTCCAGAAGTCGCCTTCCTAGACCCCATACTCAAGACAACCTGGGTGGTCCTCTCTGGTGGGGCAAGAGCGAGGGAGGACAACCTCGGGTTACTGTGTAATCATGCCCTGGGCTGGTCACCACAGCCCCACCAGCCCCCAGGGGACAAGGCTCATGCCCTGGCCCAGAGACCAGACGCCATGGGAGGCCTAGGGTGGGGCCCAGTTGGAAGGGAGATAGAGCAGAGGCCAGGGGCGACCGAGTGGTTCCCAGGGGCGGGAAACGAGATGGCACCCGCCACGAGGGCTGTGAACAAGGAAAGCCAGGCGAGGTGCCGCAGCCTCGTTCCAGGCATTTGGGAACTTGGCAGCCAGGACTGGGTTTTTCGTGTTTTCTGTAATTATTTCCCTTTTGTTCTCCCTTAGTATTTAGTAAAGCCCTTTGTGAAAATGCCAGCTGGTCTCAGCTGTGCTACGAGGAACGACAAAGGGGTACTCTGTACGTTCTTGTCCCTGAGCTTTAACGGAGGGATCTAGCTTAGTGGTGGCAGCGAAGTCAAGGACCATCGGGGGCCCAGGGGGGCCCTGGGGCCATAGCCAGCACCTCGTGTCCAGCAGCGTCCCTGACGCTGAGCTTCCTTCCAGGCTCTTCCAGGCTCTGGCCTGGGCGGTATTGAAATCAGAGGGGCTGGAAGGCCAGCCAGTCGTGGCTGTTTTGAGGGAGGGCATTTGTTCAGATTCCAGTGGTATCCAAAGCCCCCGAGAAATCCAGAGGCCGGGCACCTGCTGAGCTCCCGCTACTGGTCCTCCCCACTGGGGGCTACTTGGCAAGCTGCTGTCGGGGAATCAGGCTCATGAGCTGGGGCCATCCTGCCCTCCCTGCCTGCCCTCACAGCTCAGGACCCTTGGTCCCCTGCCTGCCGGCTGCCCACTGGGAGCAGACACTCAGCTGGTCCTTCCCACCTGCAGGGACCCTCCACATCCTCATTTCCTGCCTTTGTGCCCCCTGCTCCTCCCAGACCCTCCTCTCGATTGCGTCTCTCGGCTGCCCTGGTGGGAGGGGCCCGGGGGACCTCCCTCCTCGGGAACAATCGCCCCTTTCTCTCTGCCTCGTAAGTGATACAGGAGGAGAGGAAGCTATTTGTAACTAATCGGCTGTGATGTGGAACGGAGCCCTCTGAGAACTGGAGAGCCTGCTGACAGCCCGACAGCCCGGGGCTGTCCCGCCTCTGTGACAGCTGGGTGGCTGGGGATGGCAGGTCATCCCCCCCCCCCCCCCCCCCTGCTGG